GCATTATCTTCACAATTATCGAATCCATTTTCCTCGCTGTGTTTGCATGGCTTGTACACTTCTATATAAAAGTGCCAATGCTCAACCACTAAAACACATATTGCAGACATTTGTACAGGGTTTGTATCGGTTAGCATGATTTCTATGTGGAGTTTTATAGAGCCTCGAGGCAAATACAGTAAAAACAAGACATATAACGGCAGAGCAATGCAATACAGCATATCACAGTAACAAATACTGTAACATGAATTGACTACAAAGCTCAACAATCAACGTACAGATTCCACTTGGGCTCAATTTACATTTTATAGCGTAATTGTAATATTCCCCAATCACCATAACATAGTGTTGAGTTTATTCTGGAGTGCGTCGTAAATACAATTATAAGTACTCTCTTGAGTTATGATATTTAAATAAATATATATTGTTTAATTAACACAGTCCTACGGAGGGAGCTGGTAGGAACGTTGGGTTGCTCGGTCAATGGCCAAGGTCAACGGCGGCGTGGTGTATTCCACAAATATGGCCGACTGTGAGGGCGGGCACAAGCCGGCGTGAGTAGGTTAAACGTTGAGTTTTATAAGGGCACCACGGGGTGACCAGCCCCTCCACACCCAACCCCACCCCTTCCACCCCCCACCCAGCCCCACCCAGCCCCTCCCCACCCAGCCCCTCCCCACCCTCCCCTCTCCACCCAGCCCCACCCTCTCCACCAGCCCCTCCCCACCCTCCCCTCCCCACTCAGCCCCTCCCTGCACGACGGACGGACACAATAATCCCCTGTGGGCTGGTGTAATCAGGAGGTTCCTACCAGTAAAACGTTTAACCTGGATAATATTCGTTTCAGAGGCAGAAGCTCGTTTACAAGGTTGTGCAGGGTGTTTGGTGTCAAATACATGGGACAAAAGGTGGGGACTTGGGGAGGCTTTCATCCAGCAGTGGATGGAGCTTGGATGATGATGACGACATGTCAATAAAATAAAATCAAAACGTAATCGTATTTTGTTGTGTATTATTCTTCCAGAGAAACAATGCAGGAATATTAATAACAATGTTATTGTTGTGTAACACTCTTCCATGGAAATGATGCATTAATTTTAATTACTAATTACCATGGTCAGCCTTGTCTTAAGGAATGTTTGGAAAACAAAATTTTAAAAAATAATTGAATTGCAAGGACATGGTTTTATGAAAGAACTACAGCTAGACTTAGCTTCGTAGTGACTGAGCAAAGCTCTAACGAAGTGCAGTTCTGCAAGTTCATGGTTGTATACAAAGCCTGAGCACTACGATAACGACGATTCGGAGATGTTTATCATTTAGGGGACACGCACAATGATCAGAATGCCAAACAAATTCACCAGCCCTAAATCGGTCTAGGCTTTCAAATAGCAAACGATATGCACTTGTTAAACTGAAATAAGTAGCACCTGAATAAACGTTGACTTAAACGTGAAGGTGATGATTGGAAAAAATGTTTATCCTCATTGCTCTCACCGACTCGTTAAACTTTGACCTTTGACATAATATTTAGTCGTAAATTATAACATTAATTTAGTTTTAACTGTTGTAAAGAGAAGATAAAAGTGTAAATCCATGCTCAAGGTGAAATTGGGTGCTGATCCTTTGTCTTGGCAGTTTTGAAGCAGGGATCATTTTCTCTCGAGGACACCCACTGTTGACTTCTCATTGAGCAGAGAGGGTGGACAATCCCAGGGGATTGTGGTGGATTCAGCTTCAACTACCAACCAGGAATCGATCTCACGATTACGAGACAGGCCGGCACTCTGCCACAATACCAGTCAAACATTAAATAAACAAAACATTGATTTATTTTGATTTCTTAAAAGGATTGTTTGTTTTATATGTTTTAAGTATTTTTGTCCACGACGGAAGTTTTCTCGGGGATCTAATTTCATCAGTGGAGAGCGATGTGAGCGAATGCTGCTGGCTTTCTCGAGCAGCACTTGCCCCTAACAGTCTGCCGAAGGCTATATGGGGCACCTTTGTCTTTATTCGGCTGGCTGCTCCCTCAGTCTCAAGACGTTTCCTGTCGGAGGAGTAGCGCCACGGAGTCCTTCGGGTGTTTTCACAAACACAAAAGTGCGCGTTATTTTTTTCCCCCCGGGTCGAACTCACGGCTGCCAAAACAACAGGGAGCTGCCCTGTCCCACAAAGAAGCACCGCTGGGGCTAACGCAGCCATCATTCTCACGCGGTTGAGGCTCACGCGGTCAAACCTTCTCATTTAGCCACGCAATATAAAATGTCGCCTATTCCCAATTGTAATCAAAAGCCATTTACTTATAACCTGCCGGTAATTGTAACAATGGAAGTATCTAAGTAGGTAAGGGAAATCGGTTAAGTTGCTGGAAGGAAATGACATTGAATTCACGTGTTTTGCGGTTGTACCGCGTGTCGTTCGGCATCATGTCCGGCGTCTCAAGGAGGCTCCCAGCATGTGGAGCGAAACGTCGGACATCGTACAGCCCAAAACACACATGAAAGAGTTGATACAGCACAACCACAACAACCGGCACTGTAGTATTCCTAGGGTTTTGTTTCAACAATTCACCCCTTTTCTGTTTCGACAATTCTCAGTCTTCGTCGTCAATTTGTGGCCACATAAACCACTGCTCCATGAATACCCAGTTGTTATGGGCAAGATCCATGCATGCATGAATGCACTTCTGTAGGGCCCAAAAGTAGCATTCCTCCAACAACATTCAACAAACTCTGTAGGAATCTTAATTTTGGAGCTTTCGTGACTGCAGGAATTATTCTTTGGTTCTTTCGGTAAAGTCACGTATAAAGATATGCTATTATTTAATTTATTATTTTATATTTATACGTGACTTTACCGAAAGAACCAAAGAATAAAATTCTGTAGGTGCAGGGGACTTCCTGTGTATGGGGGCCCCCCGAGTGCAGCTTAAGGCGATACTGACACAAGTCCAACGTAGCTGGTGGCACCTTCCATGCCTTGTTCCCTTGACCAATGTGAACTGTGCTGGCACCGGGCTGGGCCAGAACGGCCCAGCAACCCATTTTTTCCACTGCACAACCGAGCCATGCAGGGGTTGCGGCAAGCCGTCGCAGAGCGGCTCGGGAGACGCCATCTTGGTTTTGTCCATTGCAGAACCTGAGGCGTGCCGCGGACGAAACACGGAATGAATGAGTCGAGACGCATGTCGACAATAGCGATGTATGCATGTTGAACTTCGTTCGCACCGTACGTAGCCGACCGTGTTAATCGGAGGTGCGGGGGAAGGACAACAAAATAAACACAAAAATCGTTTTTAAAGAAATGAGTTTTCAATCTAGATTTAAAAGTGCATAGCTCCAGTGGCTTCCTAATATCCAGACGGCTGCAGAAGTTCATCCAAAAGCGTGCGATGCGGTGTAAACAGCGATGTTGTGTCCTCACTGATGTCAAATGGAATGAACCCGTCATTCACCATGCCCCCGGCCCTCATTGGCCCCGGGTCAGATTTATATCGTGAGATTAACGTATCACGGTTTGGTTCATGAAATCGCCAATGGAAAATCACCCGAGCAGTGATGGCTCGGCCATGATTGGCCAGTGAATAGAGGGGCGCACATTACCATGGAGGCCTAAGCCTAGCGCCACCACTCCCACCGAGTTCAGACCTCGGCCCGCGTGCTCACGTTTCAACCCGTGCCACGCGTGAGAGTCGCAGGGTCAACGTGGAGGCGAGAAGCCCACGCACGAACGCCACTCACTTCGCTGCATTCTTTAATGGGAATGTGGCGGAAATTTGTAACTTGGCAGAATAAAAATCGAACAACCCGTGGCTACGTGAACAATTATTACAAACGAAACTTCCGTAAAGATTGTTGCGTGACCCGTACCTCATTGCCACAGAGGGAGGGCGGGCAGGTGGGTTGGGCATGAGGGAGGTGACTAGTGCATGAACCTTCACGGCTCCAGCAACCCCAACTCCTCGTGGTCAATGAAATGAGCCATTGTTGCACCATTGCCATTGGGGACCCCAGAAATCACTTCATCTGCTACCAATTGCTCTGACATTTGCGTGAGCAACATCACAAGACCTTCACAACGCGCACGCCTCCGTGGAGAAAAGCCACTTAACAATTCTAGATTTGAAGCTTTCGTGACTGCAATGATTCATACTCTTAGTTCTTCTTGGTTCTTTCGGTAAAATCACGTAGAAGGGAAGTAATACAATAATAAAAATAAAACATAATAAAATTATTTTATTTTTATTATTTTATTACTTCCCTTCTACGTGACTTTCGATAAAGTCACGTAGAAGGGAAGTAATAAATAATAAAAATAAAACATAATAAAATTATTCTATTTTTATTATTGTATTACTTCCCTTCTACGTGACTTTACCGAAAGAACCAAGAAGATGAATCCCTGCAGTCACGAAAGCTTTAAATCTAAATTTATACTCTTAGTTCTTTCGGTAAAGTCACGTAGGTAAAAAATGAAATTAAAATAAAAAGAAAACAATAAAATCAATGATGCAGCTAATCTGCCTGTGACGGTCCCACCTGATGACGGAGACTTGTGTTGCCTCCGAAACGTCGTGATTTTATTGTTTATTTTTATTAAATTTTATGTCATTTTTTACCCACTTAACGATGTTATGAGCACATCTCGAGAGCTTCGAGCCGGGCGCTTTGTGGCATTCCCCGTGGACCTTGCGCCACTGCTGAGGATCCCTCGTGTCTCGCAGTTTGACATTCCACGTCCCGTCTCTGCAGCCTTCTCGGGTTTCACGCGGACACACGGGAGATTCTGAATGGCGTTGAGCGCAAGATGCCCCCAGCGTTGCTGTGCGGCATGGAACGCCACGGGAACGGTTGTGCATTTAGGGGCCGTCCATAAATGACATCACGCACATAGGGGGGGGCAGACATTTGTGACGATGTGTGACGATGGGGGGGCGGGGGTTTGAGAAATGTGACGTCACATCAAAATGCGCAACTTTAAATAAATATAGACAAACACGTTTTGCTTAATTAAATAGACTTTTTAATAAATGTTTTCTCCTACAACATCAGAGTGCAGCGCCACATTAAATACGCACTACAATGACAATAGTTTAAAGCGATTTGAAGCATGTTTTATTTGGTGGGGGTGGCAGAGCTTTGTGACGTCATAATTGAGTGGGGCGGGGTCTGACTTTTTGTGACGTCGTGTGACGAAGGGGGGGGGGGGGGGGTCAAAAATCGTCCAAAATCGCGTGACGTCATTTATGGACGGCCCCCAATGTGCAATACGGACGAGACACAACTCGATCTGTGATGCTCTAACAATGTCTCTCATAGGCTCGGTGCTTTCAAGGCGTAAGGCCATCTGAATTGTGTCTGTTATCCAAGCGGCAGTGATACAGGCAACAGCAGTCCTAGTCAGGTCCTCTGACCATTGTCCTTGCCCCGTACCTCCGATTAGCACGGTTGGCTACGTACGGTGTGAAAGAAGTTCAACACAGCAGTGCATACATCTTGTGGATATCCATTTGTTGTTGTAAATACAAGTGTGGTATATTTAAAAAGCAAGACCACAGACACGCGCTCCCCCATCGTTAGGTGTGTTTTTTTTTCTTCTGAGCGTTTCTGTAAACATGATTTACAGTTTGTAAATGAGTGAGCCGCACCAGAACCACTTACAGGCAATAGAGAGCAAACTTTAATCTGCGCCGTCCCTTTGATCTTTCAGCGCTGGCGAAGCTGAGCATGCACAGGAATAAATTGTGCGGTTTTTTTTACGAGCTGGAATGATGCCAGTACCTGCGATGGTGCAGCCGGTCCCGTGCGCGAATTGACTGCAGATGAAACGGAGTGGGTGGGGGGGGGGCCGTGGTGTCATCAAACATATCGTGTTGTCATCGCACGCGCGGCAGAGCCCGGCGATCGCGAATTGATCAGCGTGCCGTCTAGACACCTCGCTACCTATTCCAAGAAAAGTCTTCCTCGAGATGTTCTCCAACGACCAGTCGTCGGGAGTGGCTGCGTGAAGAAAATGCACATCGCATGCCAACGTTGGTTATCTTTTTTCTGTTCTTCTTATGAGCTCTGAAATTGTATTGGTCAAAAGTACCGTCGAACATTTCCAGAAGGATCGTTTGATTCTTGTTTTACAAGTCAAAGTGTCTCCCTGCGCAGGGGTGGGTAGGGCTTTCGGGCATCTGTTGGTGGTCCTGAGCTATTCGTGAAAATTTCACATTTTTATGGCGAGTGCTAGCGTCTTCATGCAACGCTCACTCTTGATGCCTCGCAAAACTGTCACGGCTTGACTCTAAAGGGTTGACAGAATCGACTCTTGGCCGAAGACTTGAACTCCTGATTTGATTTCGGGTCAAGGTTTCTTCCACAGTGCCACCTGACCAAACACATCAGGAAGGCATTGGCGGGGAGAACTGGCTTAGGAGGGATAATGCCAGTTCAGAGGATGGGCAAATGGAAGGCAGGATCAGGTGGATTTCAGCTGCACAGATTCAGGTACAAGAGTTTTAAATATTGGACGTCCCTCTTCTCATTTGATGTTGCATATCTGAAGTTTATGGTGAATTTCACACATGCTCTTGCCAATGTATACAGTTTTTTATTTTAAACATGCGTTGGTCTTATTCCCAATGTATTCCAATTGTGCAGTTAACATCATGTCATGAGATTAAATATATTTATTTTTGCAATCTTACAGAGCAGAGCGCCCTGTGAGTTATAAAGTGGCATTGGAAGATATATTTCACAATTTTAACTAAAAATCCTTCAATATGCTCATTGATCCATTACACAGTAGAGGCCGCACTTGCCCATACTCTCTGCTATGATTTTGCTGCATAAGTCAATATGATGCTTTGCCATTCCTAGTACTGAAATGTAGCCAAGTTAAGTACAAATGCAAACGTATCATTGTGGTTGTCATTGGTTACAGAGCTGAGACCATCAACTTGCAAGACTTGGGAACTAAAATCAGGATCTCAGCGATGCCAGCTCAGAGCCCTGACTTATGAGTGACGATTAAAATTTGTCAAAATTGTAACAATCAACAAAAATCTTCGAAGATTTAAAACATTTTGATCAAGCACAATTGGAGTTAAATTTCGATTTAAAGCTTTCGTGACTGCAGGGATTCATATTCTTGGTTCTTTCGGTAAAGTCACGTAGAAGGGAAATAATAAAATAATAAAAATAAAACATAATAAAATTCTCACGATGTTTCAGCCACAACGCAAGCAGCCGTCATCAGGTGAAGAAACAGAGTTGTCGCAAAGACAGCGTCCTAATGTCTTCCGACAGACCTGTTCTTCACCTGAGGACGGCTGCTTGCGTTGTGGCCGAAACGTCGTGAGAATTGTATTTTATTATGTTTAATTTTTATTATTTTATTATTTCCCTTCTACGTGACTTTACCGAAAGAACCAAGAATAACAATTGGAGTTATTTATTAATACATCTCCATTCGGAGGTAAACTGCATTTTTTTTGTCATGTGCCTTTTAAATATCAAGTAACCTTTTTAAGTGCCATTGTTCAAATGCAAATGGCACATTAATCTGAAGTGTACAACATTCCGAAGCAAAGGCCAACTCTCTGATGTTTGTCTGTTGTCAAGTAAATCTCCTGCCCAAATTTGAACCACATTTGAAAAAGTTTTGTTGCTCCAAAAGTTACCAAGCAGTCTATAATACGCACGCTGAGGTCCATCGGTTATATTAACCAAGAAAACACCCGTGGAAAGACTTTGTTTAATCGATGTTCGGTTAGGACATTGAGTGTGTGATGGTCATAAAAAAATGCATGCAATCTTGTAAGGTTTACAAAGTAAATGTAATCCATGCTTCTACAATTTTTTTATTCTTTGCTTTTTTCGCTTTTTCAATATTTGCTTTTTTTTATTTTTTTGTTTGGAAAAATATAGAAAATGTAACCCGCGTTTCTACCGCTTTATTGCTTTTTTAGATTTTAGTCCAAAAGTAATTTACTGTACCTGTTTCTGTCCGTTTCAGCTACAGTTGTCGCCATAAACGTTGTTTGTCACGCCATCATCTCCTGTGTACCGCGAATAGAAACACGTCTAACTCAACTTGCGCCTTTACAACCACAACTTGCACGCGACGTGTAAAGCACTTCGTACATATGGTGTGCGCAGTGAAACAACCTTATAAAGCCCCAAGCGCGAGTGGCTGTCCAAGCACAAGACCTCTGTTGACAGTGGTATGGACACACAGAGGGCCTGCCATACTTTGCCACAATCGTCATGAACACACGGTAGCAACACAAACTGTAGTCGCACCGCTGTATTCATACGGTTGAATACGGTTGACTTGTTTGATAACGCACACAACTGTCGTTGGTCACATTAAGAAATTGGAACCGCTAAAGTTGCATCACCTTAGGTGGTACCAAACAAGTGAAATATCTGGCCTGGGTTCAGGGACTAAAAAAAAATCAAAATGTATTTCTGCTCAAGCAGACAATATATTGGTACTTGTTTACAGTATTGAGGGCCCTGATTAAGTGATATAATTCTAGATTTGAAGTTTTCGTGACTGCAAGGATTCATATTCTTAGGTTTTTTTCGGTAAAGTCACGTAGGTGAAACATTTTAATTAATAAAAGTAAAATAAATATAAAATAAAAATCACGACGTTTCGGAGGCAACACAAGCGTCCGTCTTCAGGTGGAATTTTAATTTTTCACCTACGTGACTTTACCGAAACAACCTAAGAATATAAGTGATATAAATTCCATATTGCCGTGGCAGAACGTGATTTATCCATAATAATACCACTGTTTACTTCCTACAAAGTGGTATTCGTTTGGTGGACCCTCGAGGAATGAAAGGTTGAGTAGATATCAGACTGGAGTTAGAACTTATTGGCTTCATTAGCAAGCACCCTGTACACGTGCTCTGCAATGTCGATATATATTTTTTAATCTTTTGTTTTAGCTGCTGTGCTCACACGCACGAAGGATCTCCCGTGCGAAAAGGCCGGGCAATCGGCTAAACGGGATCATGCGTGCAACAAATCAAATACATGAAAACTCAACTACTAACCATATATAGCACCACCTAGCTTTGTTTAAGACCGCCTCATAGATAGGCACAACGTTTGTAAAACAAGGTGTTATGTTTAAGACAGTGATCATATTCCAAGCAACGTTTGGCTGTGAGTTGAGTGAGTCAGAGATCAATTTTTGGAGCTTTTGTCATTTCAGTGACTCTATATGCAAATGAGGCACATGCAGGCCAGATAATGCAAGGCAAGCAGACCCATAGACTCGCATTCATTTAAATAACAGAGGTGCACACTTTAAAATAGTTCAAATACAGAAAGGTCGTTTTAAAGATGACCCCTTGATATCCAGAGGTTGATTCTCGTCTCGGCAGAGTGTGTTTTTTCGTATTTTGAACAGATAGGATATGGCAATCTGGCGAGAGCATGCCCTGGAGATAAGAGTCGATACTGTCTGTGGAGTTCCCGTTGCTCCTAATTCGTTACAAAGCATTGTCGTCTATCCCGGCCTATTGTAATTTATTCCAAATTGACTGCGACCAAATTCACCAACCCGTTACCCGAGATTTAAAAGCAAACACGTTGCATACGCAAAGCAAAACCGTTCGGGCGCCCCAAATTATGATGGGCGCACGCGAATGCTGGCAATCGTTTAGAATAAATTATCATTTATGTAATTGGGACAATAATTACAACAATTTTAAGGAATCCACACGCGCGCGCGCGCACTGACGCACGCGCACCGACGCACGCGCACGCGCGTATCTTCATTCGACATTCAGAAGAGCACTTCAATCTGAGCGCTCGCATATTGAGAGCACGCGAACCCTCGTCGGAGCACGCGAGAGGCGCGTGTTGCTCAGACAACAACAACAACAACAAAAACAACAACAACAACAACCCCGCAGCAACAGTGGCACATCCCGCAAAGGGCGGCGCAAGACACGTGGCGCGAGTGTGTGCACGTGCGCGCGTGTGTGTGTGTGCAATCCACCTGGGACTTATTAACCAAATGATGAACGGCGCAAGTTGATGGATGCTCCCCGGGGCCTGTGGGGGTGATTTTTTGCGGTTGAGCATAAACATTCCGCCTCCCGAGTTTTAGGGGGTGACATCGCGGTGCGAGTGCGTGAAGGGGAACGAGATGGAAAGACTCGAATGTTGAGAAGGGGCGAAGCGATCGCGCACGATGAATAATGTGGCGCTGTCAGAGCGCAGAAGTAGTCGTAACCTCAACTGAACTTTGAGTTAGTCGGCCTTTTTTGATGTCTCTACCTCTTTAATCATACCGGTTGCTTTACAGTGCTGCGGAAATCGGCGTTTTTTCCCCTTCATATTTTAGATTAATTAATTTCATTGCTGCGTAGCCAAGTCGGTCAAATGTCATTTTAATGTAGATGAATAGCAATTCCCTAGACGAATTGCATATCATCCAGCTGGTTATGCGGTGAAGTTTAATTTCTCGTTTAATATTTCCCGTGTAACTTGTCGACCGGAGGAGGCGCATGGCTAGTAGCCACAGCCATAGTGAGAGCTAGACGGGATGTGTGGTGTGCCGGGTGCGGAAATATGTTCCAGGTTCCCAACCTGGCCAGACCCGGCTGCAATTAAGCCCTGTACATGTATGTGATGTACCATTTAAAGGGCAGTTGCATCCAGTTCAGTGAGTCGCATAGCTGTTCAGTGTTTTGTATATAGTATTATTTCCACGGTGTTATCTTTTGGAAAATGTTGAAGACCACGTGACAATTATTTGCAAGACTAAGCCAAAGCTTTGCCGAAAGACCCAAAGAATAAGCCAATGTGTTTCAACCTCACAGCCAAAGGGACAAGCTTAAAAAAAAACACACACACCACAAACTTTCAAACAAAAATACAGGTTTCCTGTTGAGTTAAGTTATCCATATTTTTCTTGCAAAAAAATGAAAATCAAATTATATCTTTAACTATTTACATATTACATTTAAATGTTATTTTCAGATCTTTGGCAATACCGTACACATTCGTCTTTAAGGTGAACCCGGTAGAAAGGAAGACTTACATCTTTGTAACATCATAAATGCACTTATTGGAATGTTTTTGTTTTTCATTTGCTTTTAAACCTCCCAGCACAGCTGAAAGCGATTTTGAAAAAACCTGTCGAGCCAGTAGTGTTACACTCATTATGAACGCGACTCGGTACAATTGCAATGCAGTCGGTGGGAATTAAGGGGCTAAGTTTTATGTTTAAACCTATTGCTTGTAAATACGCCGTGCAATCGTTTGGGAAGGGAAATCAGCCATAACCCACCCTTTACCTAGCGCAGGCCACTACATTACATCTGCTTGGAATGCAGACTTCTCAGTGCACATCGTGGTGTACCGTAATAGGTTGGCCTTAATCACATACAATATGTTATACTGGTAGGAACCTCCTGGTTACACCAGCCCACAGGGGATTATTGTGTCCGTCCGTCCGTCGTGGATCCAAAAATGGGAGGGGTGGGGCTGGGTGGAGAGGGGAGGGTGGGGAGGGGCTGGGTGGGGAGGGTGGGGTTGGGTGAGAAGGGTGGGGCTGGGTGGGGGGTGGGAGGGGTGGGGCTGGGTGTGGAGGGGCTGGTCACCCCGTGGTGCCCTTAAACGTTTAACCTACTCACGCCGGCTTGTGCCCGCCCTCACAGTCGGCCATATTTGCGGAATACACCATGCCGCCGTTGACCCTGGCCATTGACCGAGCAACCCAACGTTCCTACCAGCTCCCTCCGCAGGAATGTGTTTATATTGCTGCTCTAAAGAGCAATTTTGACCATTGAGAAGCCATCTGAATTACTCTTTGGTTCTTTCCAAATTAAGTTTAAGCTCCAAATTAAGTTTAAGCCATCTGAATCCCTACCATCACTGACCTCCGCCCACCACTAACCCCCCCCCCCCCCCCGTGTCCAGAGGAAGGAGGCGGGGCACAAAGGAAAAGGGGTGGACCTAAAAAGGAAAGGCGCATTAGAGCTGAAACAGGAAGGGGTGGGGCCTAAGGATCAAGGAGGTGGGGCCTAAAGAGGAAGCTGTGGGGTGTACAGAGGTTAAAACTTCTCAGTTGAGTGCTGTTAATAAATTTATAAATAGTCTGTTCTCCAATAACGTGGTAGTTGTGTTCTCGAAGAACATCGCATTATGATAAAAAAAATCGCGTTATAATAACCATTGCGAATGTGCTCACAAGGGCAATTATAAGCGAAAGTTTAACATAAAAAAGCATTACAAATCTCTATCGCTTGGACTCGTGCAGTGGTTTACAGGCGTACAAACAGCAGGGGAGCACCACAGGATACCTGTGCGCTTTGTTCTCTGGGTTCGTCATGGAGCTGAACCACGCGTGGCCACGCTGGGTTCCTCCGCAGCCGGGCAACTCGGGCTCCATACGGACTGTATGCTGAACTTCTTCTGCACCGTACGTAGCCAACCGTGCTTATCGGAGGTGCGGGGGAAGGACAACCAACTAAACGCAACAAGCAATTCGAAAGAAATGAGGTTCTCAATGTAGTACTGTATAGTGGGGTAGTGTATAGTAGTGTATACAGTAGTGTAGTGTAACACGTAGGCTTTCGCGACCAATATTATTCATGATATAGGTTGAATTTAATTAAATGATGACGTCACCCTGATGCTGCTCTATTTAAGACCGGAAGCAACAGGAGAGCTTCACCATTCTTGCCCGATGAAGCTGATTGTAACTATCAGCGAAACGTCGTGCTACTCAAATTTAAAATGCTGTTGATTCTCTCTTCAGCACACCGGTGGGCTAAAGAAGTGAATTATTTTGTTCTTTGAAAAACGTGACACATTTTTTACTATTTGGCCGTGTCGGGTGGTGGAGGGTTACGACACATTTATAAATAACGCGATCTGACCCAAAAACTTATATTATGAGTAGTGTAGTGTATAGTATGTAGTGTATAGTAGTGTGTATGTATGTTTAGCTTCTTTCACACCGTACGTAGCCAACCGTGCTTATCGGAGGTGCGGGGGAAGGACAACCAACTAAACGCAAAAAGCAGTTCCAAAGAAATTAGTTAGAAATCGAGATTTTTTTTAAAGGGGGCGAGGGTGCCACACCTTCACTCACCAGCAGAAGGCAGTACAGCAAGTTGACCAATCTCCATCTGTTTTCATCTGTACAGGGATGGTGTATTGCCTGCGTCACGTGTGTGGGTTGTCTCTGGGTGCTTTTACTTCCTTACACACCTACAAGCACTCA